AGTCATGGAAATGCTTCATCTTAGGGTAATTTAAATGACCAGATTTCTGTTATAACCCAGTACTGAAAATTGCCAAGAATTTGCTATAGTTCATACCCTATAAATACTTGATGGAAAAAAATCAATGAACTACCTATCCACTTGTGTATGAAGAAGAACTTTACTGTATGGGTGACCACATACTGCAATAGATTGATCAGAGAGGAGGTGGAGTCTCCCTTGAAGATGTTGAAGAACCACTGGACGCACTTCTTTAACTTGTACTCTAAGATGACCCAGTTTGATCAGGGAGGTTGGGCCAGATGACCCACTGTGGTCCCTTGCAACTTTACTCATTCTGTGATAATGTCCTTACTCAATCAGCTTTGAGAGAGCACTGATGCTTCATTCCAATAAAGATCTCTTTAGTGTGCCTAATAGCACTAAAAGATGAGATTAATCCCAGAACAGAGTTTTCCTCACAGGAAGTAAATGCCAAAACTTAAAGATTACTTAGAATGAGACATGCAAGGCAATATATTTCAAAAGTGACAGTGGATTGCTTTACCTACAGAGGTGTCAGCATAAGCAACCCTGATGATTACCAACTAAATTTGGGGGAAAAATACACTTTTACACTTATTTTGTAAGTAACACCATTACATTTATGGTTTCATCTCTTGTGCTCCACACTAGCATAAATACATTTCTCCAAGAACGTATTAACTAAATGCTGAAGCAAACTGGAACTAAGAAGCGCACACATAGATGAGAAAGAATAAGAAAATGAGAAAGGGATGGAAAAGACCTCTGCTTATGAGTTTCCTGCCTTATTGTCTGAAGTAGAAAATACAAAATCCTTCTGAAGATTAGGGAGGTCTTAATATTCTGGCCATATGGTTTGTATCAGGTGTCAACCTTTCTTAATCAGAGTACAATCTTTTTTTGAAGAAACCGCATTTTGCAGGACCCATTAGGATGCTTTTATTCAGGGCCAAAGTCATATTTCAAAGACCCTTTGTTTACATTTCCTGCTGAGACATACTACTTCTTTAGCATAAGTATATTTGAAGCAGAATGAGTTACACAGTTATAATACAGTGTGGATTTAGTCTTCTTAGCTTCACTTGCTTAGCCTGATTTAGGCCACAAGCTGTAAAGTTACATCTAGATATGCTTTCAGTTGGGATAGTTAATATTCTGTATTTTTCTAGTAGGTGCTGTAGTGCTGTGTCTTCGCTAGTAGGTGCTGTGTATGAGAATAATATAAATAACACGATGTTTTGGTTATTGCTAAGTACTATTTATCCTATGTCTAGGGCTTTTTTAGTTTTGTAGGCTCTAACAGCAACCACATGTGCCAGGATCACAAATTGGAAGATAAGAAAACTAAATCCACTAGGAGATGCAACTTGACAAGTTATGAAGAGTTAATGGCCTGCCTGCATGAACACTTGAGAAATAACTCAATAAGATGTTAGAGGACTCCAAAACAAAACCCACTATTGGACTGAGAAATGCATTCAAGGCACACGAAGAGCATGTGAGGGGCAGGTCTTAAGTCATAAGGGCATAATTTTCCATGGATTTCTATGTTCTGGGTCCCTCTCTGGAGGCAGCCAGCTTGAGCTGACCTGCTGGAGGAAACCTACTGTTAAGCCTGAAAAAGGAGGAAGTACACCTGAGAGTGTGTGTGAGCAAAGAATCAAAAGAGGCACCTGCAGCTCCATGGAGCTGCCTGCTGCAAAGGGACTCTGGGCCTTGCAGTTTAAGTCTGGTGTGGCATGTGTATGTAACTCTCTGAAGGGAGTGAGAATGTTTGAGCAGTGGCTTCTCCTTTAACATTTCTGTTTCTACTTTGTACTTTATGTAAAGCATTAAAAGATACTTAGAGGGAAGAAATTCATTCATCCACAATGGACAGATAAAATATGAGGACTCCTGTTTCTTGGCTTTTAGCTAAAGTAAGGTCACTGTAAAATAAGCATTTGCATCTTAATAGAAAATTAAACTGTACAATTAACCAACATGCAGCTGAATTAAAAGAGCAACACATGCAATTCTGTGTTACTGGTGGAATAAAAATGCATGATGGTGGACTCTAATGGAGGAAAATATATGCCAAATAAACTAAAGCAGATTATTTATCTGACAATTTTTTTCACAATAAATGGACTTTAGTGAGTCTTTAGAAGTGCCAAATTGCCTGCACTAGCTGAATTCACCCAAGAGAATAAACCTAGTTTCGGAGGAGATTGCCCAGAGCTACTTGAAATTCTCCTTTCCCTTCTAATGTTCCAGGAAGCTGAAGGTGCTGAGTATCTCCTAGAAATATATGACAGAGTATATCCTAGAAATATATGACAGCCCATAGCTGGCAGTCTTCAGAACAACTAGGAATCTGAACAGTCAAATCAAACATGACTGGAAAAAAAAAAAAAGCAAAACCAACTCAGGACCTGGAAGTTCAGACCATTGGCTTCCTGTCTAGTTCTTCCTCTTTCTGGCTACCTCTCAACTCACTGTATAGTAAGCTGTCTACTGTTCCATTACCAAAGGGATCTAGACAGCAGAATGATAAAATGACTTGAGTTCAGATTAAATATCCCACTTCTCTGGCATTCCTGTGATTAATCTACATCACATTCAGTAGTTCAGATGCAATTCAGGCTGGGACTAGTGAAGTTAGGGTTGTCTAGATAGCTGTGAAACTTCCAAGTTTAGAAGGAAAATCATACCAATATATTACTGTTACAAAAGCACTCATCCCAATTAACAGAATGATCAATGTAAAAGTCACTGTCTGTCATTTCTAATTATACTTTTAGGATGGCTCAAATTTTACCTCAGCTCTTTCTTATTACATTTTTTTATGTACCTCATTTATTTTCTTACATGTATTTGATTTTCCTTCCCAACCGGTCTGCATTCAGAAGAAATTGTTTCTTTACACTCACTGCAACAAAGGACAGCACCATTTCTCCTACATAGCTGCTGCTACTATCATGTAGGCATTCTTATGTGATGACACTCTCCAAACAGAAACAAAAGGAAGATGTAAAAGTAAGCCATAGATAATTTCAGTTCAGCTGTCAGACAACCTCAGAGCTCAATGATGTAGGAAGCACAAAGATTGTTTTGAAAAAACATATCAAAGGCAAAAAGAAAACCTGAATGTGAGAAATGAAGATGGAAACATGACCAAAATCTTCAGTTTATGCACATTGCTGGAATTACTAACTCAACAGGTGTTATTTAAAACCAGACTTTAAGTGAACTGCTGTCCTACCACTTCTTTTTTCTGGATTTTACACTTTTGCACCAGGTGGCAATATGTGCAATTTTCCATTTAGCATCATACTTAGTCACTCAGCAGGTGGAAAATTCAAGGCAGAATCTTACTAGCCATCTAGGTTTCCCTAGGTGCTGCCAATGTGCGGTTCCTAGACCTAAATAACAGTGAGCCCATTGTGCTACAGAGCCCTCTGGGCCAGCAGTCAGCGCCTATTGGGCAAGGTTATCAGGAGCAGCTGCTCAGCAGTTGCCATATGCTGGTCCCTGCAGTGGCTTCTTGGCCTCTGCAGAGCTTACATCGTTTTAGACATCAGAAGGTCATGAAAGCCCATTTGCAAAATTGCTGCAAGGATGCATACCATCAGGCAGGCAGCTGGCAGGTGTAACAGTAAGAGAAAAAAACCAGAAAGTTCAAAGTCCCACAGGGCACAAAACTTATCCCTCTAATGCTATGTTTAAAAAACCTGACATATTGTAGTCTATGTATGTCATCAATACAAGAATGTACAAGTATGTTCTATAATTGGATTTGTAGAACACACTTACATCTCTCTTCTGAGGCTTATAGAAAGTTTCCCATAGAAAAGAGATGCTGAATACAAACCTTGCTATTGTCACAGTTATGCACACAGAAGAGATATCTAAATAAGATACAGTACTCAATGCAATGCTTTGACAATGCTAGCAGTGCAAGGCACTCACAAATACACACAAACACAGTGGAATCATTCATTCTGGAAACAATCGTCTTGCAGCAGCTGAAGACCTGTGGCCAGAGAAATGTTCATAATTAATTAATAATCATGGCAGCAGCAAGGGAAATGGGGAGAAAAGTAGACCTGCAAAAGCAGACCTACAGGGTCAGCCCCATATTTAGAAAAAAAATCTGGGAGCATATTTACCTTCTCCCTGTTCTTGTGTCTCACATTATCCAATGCCCTCTTGCACAGATCACCATAAAAGTCTCCAAATCAGTATTTTTTACTAAACTCTCATAGCTTAAACCCACCTTGTCCAAGACTCAAGCCACCACACTTCAGTTTCTTGTGGCTGTGACACACAAGCATGCATATAGCCTGTCCTGTCATTGCTGCATTAGAATGATAATCTTCACCAAAGGGTTATAGCAAACAGGAGTGGTGCCTATGACACCTCAGCTGACTGAGGCATCACATTGGCTTAACTGCCAGCATGCTCAGGGGTTCCAAAACAAGAAAATTTATCTGTCAAAGACACCCATTGAGCCTGCCTCCTACAAGGAAGGAGTAAGATAACTACATCTGGAGGCTGTAATATGGACCCTTAATCAACAGGATTCACATTTATTAGTAATGTGAATATTACAACAGATTATTAGTAACTCTACAAGCCTGCAATTCATTTTGTTATTACAGAATAAGCAAACAGTACAAGTTAGAGCCAGCAGATCTTGCAGAAGAAATGGTGCAATGTTAGGATTTCACCTTCAAAGATAAATATTTCTGTCCTTACTCAGAGAGAATTACCACTAACATCAGAGGGAAGGACTACCATTAGCAGCAAAGGAGATTTGGAGCAGCAGCACAAGATGGTCCTTAAAGTGGGAAACAAACAGTAGAATGGCATTTCCCCAAGAAAAAAAAGAAAAAAACCACCAACCTCGTAGTAGGAAAATCCTTTTTCAAACCCCCTACCAAAGAGAGAAATGACTCACAAATGCCTTCCAGTCCTCTGCGATTTACTCTTACCTCTGTGATGTTTTCTTATATTTTCTCCTGCAGGAAAAGAACAAAATACAACTGAGATGAGAAGGCTTCACAGGCAAGGAGGAAAAAGGAGAGGGTTAGAAATCAGGAGCAATTCAGTGAAGTCGCTTCTGCCACAAGACTGTCGCAAACCTGATGTAGCCATTCCCTTCTACTAACCTCAGTGGTGGTTGCCACTAAATTCAGGAGAAAAAAAAAGTGTTTGCTTGTATGCACATACTACTCTTTCTTGTGAGAAAGGGTTGTTGCAACTAGGAAAAAAATATTTATTATTCTAAATGACTTAGCAGGAAATCCAAGTGTCAGAAATGTACTTGTATTTACTAGTTGTAATATTTACGTCTCTCATCCAACAGATAAGTAAGATAAGTTCTGTGAAGTTCCCATTAACAAGGAGTAATGAAATGTATCCAACCATATTGTCTGTGGTCACTCGGTGGAAAACTCCAGTGGTTTTAGAGCAGTCTCTCTCTAAAAAGAAAGTCTAGATCCTAGCAAGTTCTGTACTCCAACAAATTCCAGATACCACACCACAGAGCTTCACTTTGTTGCACCTATCTTGAGAACTTACAGACCTTAACCCAGGATTAGGAATGGCAAGAGCAGATAAGCATATAGGACCTCTTCTCTACCCCAATACTCACACCACATCAATTACAGCAAAGGCTGTAAACCTCTTACTTACCTCTTACTTAGCCACCTCTTAGCATGGTGGATTTTGTCTTCAGCAGCAGGCAATGACACAGGCTGCCAATGCACAGAGTAAGGCAATACACAAAAAGGCAATACATGCCTTTCTGTATAGCTGTCTATGTGGCTATACAGTTACCTGCAGGGGTGTATCAGCACTGTATGTTGTCTGTGAGCTGCTGTTTCTGCACCTGTTTCCAAAGGCTTTGCACAGAGGCTGGCAAAATATGGCATTAATTTACTTGAACTCAGCTCTGCTTTTATGTTCTAAAGTAAAATTAATGATAGTTAAACTTCACAAGTAGTGAATGAAACAATTTTCAATTTGGACTGTGATTTAGCAATACACTAACAGACATTCCCAACATTTTCAATGTTGTTTAACAAATAAATATTTTTAAAATAGATGTATGGCTATTAGCATCAAGTTTACTTTCATTTCTGATACTACTGTAGATGGAAAATTGTAGCTAGGGTGGGCCTAAGAAACCCAAACAAAGAGTAACTTTCTTTACAAATAAGAAACATGGCAAAATGGAATGTAGTGATATTTTCTACTTAAAAAGAGCCATGAATAATGTCTCCTGACTGTAAAATGTTTCATCCGACAACTGCCTTTACAAATTGCACTTGTGGTTATACCCACTTCTATATTCTGACCATGTCAGAATCATAAAAATACTAAATAGCTACTTTAAAAAATATTTTATTTACAATTTACTGTGTGAAGAATTACTTATTTAAACTTGAAATTATGCAAAGGAGTAAAAGAGAAAATATTCATTGCAATATCAAGTTTATAGCTTACTGACATTAAGAACATTGACACATAAAAGCAGAAATGCAACTGGACAAATCTTATTCTATGAAATTCTTTATTTTCATTTCAGAAGGATGAAAAGTAGAACTTTTGTTTTGAAAAATGTATATTAGGAACTTTATATTCTAACAAATAAAGAATTTTATTATGTTTTCTGGCAAAAAAAACCTGATGAAAAATATGCCATCTGATTGGCCAGTCTAATGCACACTAATTAGAAGATTTTATTCCCAAGAAATACAAATTTGTTTAAGTTTTAAAATGAAATTATTTGCAAGTTTATTTTTTCCTCTGAGAGGCTCTTATGGTTCATTCCAACTCTGTCTGAACTAATTTAAATTTCATTGGTCAGTGTCTTTCATATAATTTTATATAATGTGTTTCTCTTTCAGACATTTGAGCAAAGATAAAATTCATTGACTCCAGTCTAATGGTGTTCTTTATATTTGATTAATAGCACAACTTTTCTGATCACCTTTAGTTACACCTTTAATGTTCCTTTCATTCAAGAATACTTTTAATACATTAGAAAGCTGTACTATTACAGATGACAGTACTAGGAAAAAAAAGAATTTGCCTAAGTAATAGAAATTTTTAAAAACTTATACACAGTTTTTTATTGTTGTTGTTGTTTTCACACCTGCAGTCTAATCACCAAGTTACTGACTGCTTTTCCCAGCACTGACTGAATTTGCAATTTACAAAGAAGAGAATATAACTAGAGGAACACTTGTTTATATATTCAATATCACTACTGCATGCACATGCTTTAAAAGCACCATTAACTTGCTAACACCATTAATTTGCTAGCACCATTAGCAAATTCTGATATCCCGGAAAAAAATTCTGTATGCTTGAACTTCCAGCATCTCAAAAAGCAAGGTCTAACAATGGTACTCACCACATTATAAAAAAAATGGTGTTGGTAACATGTAACTTTTTGTAAATATAGTATTCAGTTTGTTTTTGGAAACACAGTGTCAACATCTATCTTCTTTATGGTTACAAGCCACCACTTAGACATGCCTTCCATTAAATGAGATCACTGGAAACAAAGGAATTAGAAATTACTTCTTTAATACCACAGCCAGCATCAGAGACTGGCTTGAATCAGCAACCATGTGTGCATTAACAAGAGGAAACTGGAGGGGGCTGGATTTAGATTTGGTTGGGTTTCCACGGTTTTTTTGGTTTGTTTTTTGAGGTTGCTTTTTTATGAGGGGTTTTGTTTGTTTGTTTATCTAAAAATACTATATATCTTGGGACAAGATATCTTGACTTATGTCCCAGGATGCATCTATGAAGAGACAACTATCCATGAAATTACTTTTAGCAGGTGCTCTAGAATAAACCTGGAAACAGGCACACTTTCAGTCAAGCGCAAGGGACTTCTCATTTTTTGAACAAACACTCTTTCCCAGGAGAGAAAGAATGAGTCAGATTTAAAGGAGGTAATGTTACAGCTTCCCACATCTGTGAGCCATCCTGTGCTCATGCCTGAAAAGAGGCTTATTGATATTACCAAATCTGTGTAAATTCAGTTTCTTTTCTCACTGCATCCGTCATGCTCGGACTGCCACATCCATTCAATTCCTGTTACTGGCTGTGGAATTATTCAGAGGTTTATATTTAGCTTTCACTAAAAAAAAATAATTAGAACAAAGTAAGGGTTTTTTTCATGCTGAAGAGAATTATCAAGTGACTCACGCTAAATAGGCCCTATACAACCAGTGTAAACTAAAAATAACTTCACTGAACGTAATACAGTTACACTTGCATGAATATAGTATGAAGTGAGTCAGTCCTAGTCCAAGAAGGCTGCTAGAGCCTAATGGAAAAAAAAAAGTAGTAAGACACTTAAAGATAGATATTTTATAATTGAAGTGGTAGGTAAAATGAAATTTTTAAACTCAGAAACCATAAAGTTAACAAAAATATTGAGTCAACTACTTCAGTATCTTCTCTTCTGAGGATGAATCCTTCTTGTAACCAGAGAAATAAAAATAGCATACTGGCCCAAAATAAAATTAGGACAGATTTTTGAAGGTATTTAATCTTCAATAAGATGTAGATTGCTATGCTGTATGGTGACACAATTCCCATTGAAATAAATAGATATAAAAAATTTGACTTTGTGCTTTGATGCCCATCAACTTCTTCAAGGTTGTCTGTTCTCATGGTTATGCTTCTGATTTTGCCATTTAATTCCAGTGCATCATCAGCCAATTTGGTTTTCCCTGTATTTTCCCTTCAGGCACTTTTCCATTAATTTATTATCTCTCCAGGGTTGTGGTTTTAGTCTATAGGGTTTTATGCAACAATTCATGACTTGAGCCCAAGTAACACTACATTCAAGTTTTTGCAAAAATGCTCCTGCCCTTCCTCTGCATCTAGGAACCTGGGAATGAAGAGAATATAATACAAATACACAAAATCTGTGCCTGCATTTAGTAGTGATGTTCACAGACCTTAGTCTTCTGAGACAGTTGAATAAGTCAACTGAGTACCTACAGAGAGAAGTGAGGACAGAGGGGTAGGGGGAATTAAGCAACTGTCAGCCAACCTGGTTTTGCACCATAACCATACAACTCATAATATCAACTAGCTATATGAATTGCTATTTCACTCCTACACAGCATCTGAAAAATTATCTAAACACTTAATGTTTTTTTCTCAAAATAGTGGTTTGGTTAATATGGTGTTATTCCACATTCATTCCACAGGGTTAGGTATTAATGGCACCTTTTCAGAATATGGATAAACCTGTGGGTGCTGCAGAAGTAATAGAAGGATCTTTGCCTAGTTTCATCCTTGAAAATAAATACTAAAATTTGAAAGTTAATCTCACACTCTGCTCACACTCTGCTAGAGATTAGCAGCTATATCTGTCCTTGGAAAAAGGCTCTGCAGGCTTCTATCTTCACTGCAGTGATCAGACTTAGGCCACCAGCTGTTGGATGCATGATTGATGGCCTAAGGTGCATGTATTTGAATCAATCGGTTGATACTTCCCAGCTCAGGGTGGGAAATACCAGAAGAATCTCCTTAGGCTGCTGAGACAGTGGAATGGCTCAATTTTAAGGCTGAAGCTCACAATCAACACTCACAGTGGCTTCATCTAATGTGTTTTGTTTTGCTTTGTAGCAGGCACAGGGCCTGCAAGGCCTCCCTGGCAGTCAACAGCCTAAGATAGGAAGTACCTAGTCATGATGACTGGAGCAAAAAACCCCTCTTCTGCCCTCAGACCCTTTCTTATTTCTCTGTAAGAGAGAATTATAGGTCATATTTGCCTCGACCCTTACCATTGGACAATTTCCAAAACTCCTAAACCCTATATAAACGCCCTCCTCTGCCCAGCTTGGCAGAAGGAGCTGTCACTGATCCCGCTTCTCAGAAGCAGCCAATAAAGGACGCCTCTGTGGAAATTCATATAGCACTTCCCCTCTCTCTCCCTGCATCTGCTGCTACAGCACTTAGCAAGCAAAGAGATGAAATCACT